ATATGAAAACTTTCATTTTATTATTAAATATTTATTAAAAAGTATTTTCGTTATTTTAACTTTCTTTCATTCTTTAAAATAAGTTAAAATTAAATAAAGAAAAACTAATAAATTAGTTTAAAAGTTAAAACCATTCAAATCTTTAAGAGATGAATGGTCTTCTTGGAAATGGAAACTCCAATAATTGTTTATACCCTCAGTGACTCTATGAATTGATGAGGGATCTTCATATTCTACATCGTTAGACTCTTCAAATTCCATTTCATTGCTTTCTTCTTCATTTTCAAAGTCTTCAGTGATTTCTTCTGAGTTTGTTTCTTCTGTTTCCATGTCGTTAGTTTCTATGTTAGTATTGTTATCTTTGTTTGTTTCTGAACTTTCATCATTATATTCTTCTAACTTCTTTTGTGTGTCTTCCTCTTCTAAACTTATAATCTCTTCAATGGGATCATCGAGGAAAGTAGTTTCTTCAGGGTTTTGATGAATATTCTCTTTGTTTAAAACGTTCCATTTATTAAGTAACTTTGTGATTATTCTTAAATTTTCAAAATGTATATCGCAGTTCTCGTCAAATAATATTATAACATAATAAGCTAAAAACTCCATAAGAGAGTATCTCATCCAAATACAGTTTGATATTGATAATTTTTTAATGAATGTGTTAAATGAATATATTAATCCATAAGTATTTTTTAAAATAATATTCTTTTTGATGACGTATAGCTCATTTATTACTTCATTTATTTCGGAGATTTTATTAATTTGAAAATCTGAAAAGAATCTGTTAGTGGTTAATTTTATGCTTTCTAGTAGTTCTTTTTGTAAAACATTGAGGTCGTAAATAGCTTAATATTTTTCTTCAACAATTTCGAATTATGAGAAGTAAAAGACACAATCGCTGTTACAGGCTTTCTTGAAGGAGGGTTTTTTCTTAAGTTATATAAGGGCATAGCATGTCCCACTGTAACAATATAATCGCCGAAAGAGTGATTGAATTGACGATTAAATAAAACTGCCTCATCGTGTAAATACCTTGAGTGATTATAATAGTCAGCAGCAAGTCTAGTAAATTCATAATCTTTAATGTTGTTTTCAAATGTCTTTATGCTAGTCATTGATTGAATAATAAATAATTAACTGTTGATATATAAAATTTAACAGATTGTTTAAAAAGGAAATTTAAATAAATACTAGAGGTGAACTTTAAAAGATTAGAGTTGAATTTTGGAGGTGGAATTAAGAGATATGAGACCAATAATTATGAGATATGAGGTAATAAAAATAAATGATATTTAAAACAATATTTATAATGATCTAAAAATAGAACATATTCTATAAATAAAATCTCAAATAAATGTTATATAAAACAACTTAATAAAATTTACTTTTAATGCTTAATATGATGATATCACACTATCGTCAAATTGTACCATAAAAAAATTATTATAAAAAGAAAAAAATTAAAATTAATTTCTAATTTAAGAAAATTGAAAAAATTAAAATAAAATAAAAAATTAATTATATTATATTAAATTAAATAAAAATTAATAAAATAAGAAACAGTAAATCTTAATTTATCTATTTCATTTTACT